TTAGAGAAAATTTTTTAAAGATATGGAAATGGTACACAAGTGTAAACTCAAAATAAAAATTTAAAATTATTTGCCATGGATGCTGAATAATTTAGAGACCTAATTACTTGTCTCAGGCTATCCTCTTTGTACAGTATTCCTGTGGTGTTAAAAACTTAGTTGAATGGTGAGGGTACATATTCTCCTCCTTCCCCTACACTTTCAGCTTCCCTTGTGGATGACACCAGACTAAAAAAGAAAAAAAAAATTCCCTGTTCTCAGATACATCAGCTTGAAACCCTGCTTGTATGTATTTTATCTGTTTCACAGTAAAGCAAGAACATGATTGGCCAGTTATTCTACATGTGAAAGAAAGAGAGAGTGAGAAAGAAAGAGGCACTACTGCCATTTGAAATCAGTTTCATTTCCTCTCCTATTCCTGTGTTAATATCTTCCGCTTACTGACATTTAGTTCTGCCATCAAAACTTTAATCTCGTCCGAGAGTCGTTTTCAACAGTGTAAACCGATTCACTCAAATCTTGGCCTTACTCAAACACTGATCTGAATCAACTGCAGGATTTCTTCTTCACATTTGAATCACGTTAAAGAAAAAGGAGCAGAATTTTTTTTTTTTTTTTTTTTTTCGTTTAAACTTTGATTCATAACTTCTCGAATGGAATATTTCTGACCACTCAGATCATCAGTGTTCAATGTCACTCCTCAAGGATAATGTTTATTACTGATGGGTTTGTTGTACATTGGGATTCCTTGGATTGGCTCTTACTTCTGCTGGTGACGGTTCCATATGAGCCACTACCAAAACCTGGAAGCTTTTCTAGCAAATTCTTCAATATGATCAAATCACGAAAACAATTAGGTATGTTAAGCTTTATTATGCCTTTTACAATTGTAAATGTTGCTCTCTACTATTTCACCTTTTATTATATTTTTATTATATATATTCTCTTGGACATAAAGTGGGGTATAGGTTTTCTATTGCTCTTAAGTAATAAATTGATCCACTCCTAAGTTATTACACTATATCAGATCTTATGCATTTCAATGATTTCACAGTAAAATTGTTAACTATCAAAGATGTTGGTAACATTACTAGGATATATTTATGTTAAATCTTAATGTAATTTTCTCCTAGACATAAAGTGAGGGATCGCTTTTCTATTGTTCTTAAGTTATAAACTGATCCACCTCCAAATTACTACACTATGTCAGATCTTATTATGCAGGTCAATATTTTCACAATAGAATTGTTATTACTCAACAGATGTTTGCAAAATTTTCCGATTATGCTTATATTCATTTAAGCAATGTGTCATGTAAATTCCAATTTCTAATATCTATCTTTGTTAAAAAAAAAACTTATTGATAACTTTTTTTGGAGGAGGTCTCATGTTTTACCCTGCAAATAAATTAAGTTCAGAATAATTTTTAATTTATAAATTATTCCAAAAGTTCAGTCAGTTATACACCATGCATGATAACACACTCAGGTGATCATGTATCTTTCAATACATGACTGACGAGGCAGATTTTTTTTTTTTTTTTTTGCACCGGTTGCCATCAAGGCTATAAAACTTGGTCTGGCTATTACCCATAGCTGGGGAGGAGAAGAAGAGAATTCATTATCTTTCCCAAGGGTATAAGCATGTAAGTGAATGTAATGGATTCAACTGAAATTTGAATTTGGCTCTTTGATTGCTCAATCCGAGCCGCTATCCATTACTCCACTGTACCTTCTTTAAGCCTGAATAAAGGATTGTATTTCATTTTTTGGTGGGCTTACCAAAAAACACTGGTTCTCATATGATCACTGAAGTTAAGCAATGTTGAGCCTGGTCAGTGACCACTTGCAAATACCAAGTAAGTTTAAGGGTAATATTTTAATTTATTTAATATATGCAAATAAGTCATATTTAATTTATAGAAAATTGTAATTTATAAAGAAAATCATTTAAAGGGGCACAAAGTCGGATATAACAAAATTGGTCTTGGGGTGGTGATTGGAAAATTTAAAAAAAAAAAAAAAAAAAAAAAAAAAAAAAAAAAAATGTCCCCACTCCTTTCTATTAAGCTCATAAGACTAATATTTTAATCTATTCAATATATGCAAATAAAAGTCTTATTTAATTTATGGTAATGAAAAAAGTAACATTTCAATAAACTAAATGTTGGAATATCAGTTAATACTGAGCTTTTCCAAGTTTGACACAAGTTCAAAATATTGGAGCACCAGTTAAAGATCAGCTTCATTAGCAATGGTATCTGAAATAAGTTTGCTATCAATTTACAAGCTAGATAATGATATGAGTCCAAATACTTCATGATAATACAAAATAAATATATTAGTCCAAATAGTTAATGAATGATAATTATTAATGATATTATAATGAATTATATTAGTCCAAATAGGTACTTATAGATGCCTAATACAAAGAGGAGGGGTTAATAATTGTTGGGGGGGTCTTTATGAAATAAAAAGTTGGCCTTTAATAAAATGGGGCAAGAAAATCATTTACAGGGACACAAAGTGGGAAATAAACAAAATTGGTCATGGGGATGGTGATCGGAAAATTTCCTAAAAATTAAGTAAATAAAATAAATGTCCTCACTCTTTCCTATTTGGCTCATAAGACTAATATTTTAATCTATTCAATATATGCAAATAAGTCTTATTTAGTTTATGAAAGAAGTAACAATTTAATGTTAGGACATCAGTGAATATATTGAGCTTTTACAAGTTTGACACAAATTCAAAATATTGGAGCACCAGTTAAAGATCAGCTTCATTAGCAATGGTATCTGAAATAAGTTTGCTATCAATTTACAAGCTAGATAATGATACGAGTCCAAATACTTCATGATAGTATGAGATAATGATATTAGTCCAAATATTTCATGAATTAGTATTAAAAACTACTCATTGAATATTGCTACCACATCTAGTCTGATGCTTCTGCTATATCTAGAGATACTTAACATTGCAGATTCTTCTTTGGATTTTGTTATCAGTCCTGACCTGGCATATTGGCTTCAGTCTCTTTTACATTGCCATAATATAGCTTTCTTGTGCCTCTTATATAAATATTTTCATGGATGGATGTAACCTTAAGTTTTATGCTAACAACAGTTACTTCTCTGACACTTCTTGATTGCTACCACTTAGGTGCTGTAAGTTTGGATTTGTGGGTGGTGTAATGCATAATGGCTTAGAGTTGTTAACTGGAGAGTCAAGTTCTAATTCCAGTTGGGTTCATTATATTCACTTATGTGCCAATACTCTTGGAAAAGGTATGAATCCACCTCTTCTCCCTACTAGCTAAATTAGTAAGATTAGTATCACTAAAAACCATTATTGAAAAAAATTTTTAAAATCTATATTTAAAATTGAAATGTTATTTATATAGTCTTAGTTATATGATCATCAAGTGGTAGTTCTCTAACTTGGCAGATGTGGAGTCCTGGGGGAGTGCGCAGTCACTCCTCAGTCACCATTTCTCTCACATCTACTCTGACCCAGCATGGTAGTCACTGTGTAAACAAACAACACACTTTGCCAAAGTTTTCGACCAACCAGCTAATGATTTCCCATGTTGCATTCCATTCTCATTCACGTTGGTATGCATCAAGAGCTGGGAAAGGGCCTGCTGCATGCTCACAAGGAAATGGAGATGAAAAACAAATACCACATTGAGAAATGAAAATGCAAGCTCTGTTTTCAATATTATATTTAGATGGTTTATTCATGGTTTTGCCCAGATTGATAGGTAGGTAACACTTGGGACAACTTCTGCTTTGTCAATCTCATAGATCAACTTTTCCCCCTACCAACTCCTCACTCATCTACATATCCCAACATCTGGCTGGCAAATAGAATGGGTAAGCATCTGTCTCCTATCAATGGCGAACCAGAATTGACTCCCTGATCCCAAGCATAAGTGTTAATATAGGTCAGCTTCATTAGCAATGGTATCTGGTTTGTTACCAATCTACAAGCAACAAAGATAATGATATTAGAATTGACTCCCCAATCCCAAGTGTAACTGTTAATATAGACCAGTACTCAGAAATAATCAAAGTCTGGTTTGTTGTCACTTGACCTCCAAAATCTTCTATATAATCTTTCATGTCTCTGTTCTTCCTTGGTCAAAGTGGATGCTGCTTAGAAAATTTCAGAAAGACCCATTTATTGGCCATAAAAACAAACACTTCAGATTGAGATAAAAATCACATTTTCCTCTTCTATGTGGGAATCCATGGGGTCACAACAGCTCAGGTCCCATCTATGGATCAAATAAATCTGTCTTTGGAAAAACCAAGTCAGTGAAGCTAATCACTCACACAGAAGAAAAAAAAATGAAAACAAACAAAGAACTATTTTTCTATATTTTGTGTGTATATACATTGACTGAAAAGTTCACAGACTGACCAAGATACTCCCATGGAATATAACCAAATGAGGTTTATTTTTCAACATAAACCCTCTGGCAGTCAACACACTTCTTCCATCAGTGTTGCAGTGCATGGAGCCCATTGGTAAAGAAACTTTCATCCTGCTGTCATCAACAGCTGATATGATATCATTACTGTGATACTCATTCCCAGCCAAGTGTTTTTTTTTATGTTGGGGAACAGATGATATTCTTCTGATTGATCCTATCTGACTAAGGAGAATTGTCTCTGGCTCAAAGGGATGAGCCCAATACTCATCATGTGTTAGGAAACATTCACGGAAACCAGTTCTCATCTTTGTTATCAGGGTTGAAATGTGACTCAGTTTTTTTATTTTTAAGACCAGGACATTTAGTACTACTCAGTTATTGTTCACCCTCTTTCCACTGAGTAAGTCTGTACCACCCATTCTTGGGATTGAACTCCCAACTACTATGTCACCACATTCATAAACCAATGCATTTTTTATTCTTAATTTATTTGAGTTTAAATTTAATGCTCACAATTGTTTAAAAATTTCTTTTTTTTTTTTTTTTTTTTTTTTTTATTTCAGTGGAGACAAAATGTGGATAACAATGGCCGTCGATACTATTACAAGGAGGGTTCTGAAGAGTCATGTTGGGACCTCCCTGAGGTAAGTACTTCCGCATGTTGTTTCCATTGTTATTTTGGGCTCACTTTATTCTTATAGAAAAGTGTTTACAATAAAATAAAATTCTCTATTTAATATTAATAAGTTTACTAAAATTAATCTCTCTATTATTAATATATATATTTTATTATTTCTTTCACCTTATATTCAGTTGCTTTTTTACAGCAATTCTCAAATTGTCATTCTTTAGTTGATAGTAAACAATTTGAATAAAAGATAAACATCACATCATTTTACTCTCAATTTTTCCAGATTACTGTTTAGGTCAAGGAGTCTTCCACTTTCACTGCTGCATTGTTGCCTGGCTGTGCTGGCTCATTTTGAAAAAAATAGGAAATTACCATTTATTAGAAATAAATGACTGTAATGACACAGAATGATTTCTCATTGGTGCTGTCATTTGGGTTTTGAATGGATATTCTGCTGTACAGACTAAGTTAAACAACATTTCCAAAGCACAATAAAATACATCTCAAAACTGTTTGTATTGTATACTATATATATATATATATATATATATATATATATATATGTGTGTGTGTGCTGGCTTGGAAATGACACTAAAAGGTTGTTAGTTTATAACACAAATGCTAAGATCAACATTTCACAGAGTATTGAAAATGTATATAAATGTCAACAGCAGGCAATATAAGTTTCATATAGATGTATAAATATTTCCACAGTAGTGAAAATGTTAATAAATTTCATACAGTTATGCTCTTTGAGTTTCAATAAAAAGCAATTGAGATTAAGATGAAAGAAATGCTAGTTTAAAAAAAAAAAAAACTTTATTAATGATATAAATTATAATTTACTTATTCAGTTATTTCTTCCAGTATAAATTTATTTTTATTTAAAGCTAAATACATTTATGGATTAAAATCCTTCTTTTCTTGTCATCATAGACTGAATTTTTGTAAAAACTTATATAAAAAAAAAACTCATAGTAGCAGAATTGCAGGTAAACTGTGGTTATAGTGACTTAAGTAATATTTAAAATGAGAAAATCTGTTACTTCCTTGTCTTTTGTACAGACTCATTGATGATTTGTCTTCAGTTTATACATTAATAAAATGATCCGAGTCTGACACTGACTTGGGAGTGGCACTTCCTCATTGTGCTAAAAAAGGAGAAAGTCTTGACACCTTTGTGCTACTAGTAAATCGGAACTAGACAGTTTTTGTTCTTACTCACAAGTACATGTATGAGCACCCAGATCAAACTGAACTTGTGTCATATTTGCTGTAATAAAAAGCAAATAAATACAGTCTATTGCTTAAAAGATTTTTCCACTTCAATGTGTTCATATATGGAAGTGTTTGTAGCTTCACAACAAAAGCAAAATGTACAAAGGTAATAAGATGATAGGTGGCAACTCCTTTCCTAGTACGTTAGTCTCACTAGCCGGGCCGTGTTGTAAATGCTTGTGCAGACACATTTGTGTTTCTTCAACACTTGAAGCTCCAACCAGTTGTTTATACTACAACTATGTAAAGCAAACTTTTTCTTACAATTTTGGGGAGAGAGAGAGAGTGTATACTCTAATGCAATCAATAGTTGAACAAGCAAGACCAATCTGCTCAAACCCTAAGTTGCAGTGACATATGATTTCATGCTATATTGAACCATTATGGCTTCCAAACAGTTCTGTCTACCTGATTTTCCTCGTATGGCTTTCAGATACTTTCCAAATAATGCCACATCGTGGAATTCTCTCTCCAGGCTGATATTATCAAGAAGTTATCCCCTTGGCCAATTGACAATGGAGAGATTTGAACTTAGGTCTCATGGTTAGAATTTTAATGTTCTAACCACTTAGCCATGCACCCATAAAAATATACATATATATGCTTATAAAAAAGCAAATCAAAATTTTTAACAAACATGACCATATAAAAAAGTATGTGTATATAAGCCAATATATACATAAGCATATTGGTATATGAATTCCATGTGATAAGACATTCACTTTAAAAAAAAAAAATCATGTCCCTTCAGAGCAAAGACGATCATGGCTGTCCATAGCTTCCTTAATTTTTTTAGCATTCTGGAGAAAGACACTGAATTGATTTCCATTGTGTTCTCTATGGTTTTGAATTTAAAGTTGTCCTTCTCCTAGACTGGTTGCCATCCAAGGCTATAGGACACAGTCTGTCCTGCTTTTTGGCCAATAGTTGGTGTGAGAGGGAATAGATTCTTACCTAGGGACATTAGTATGAGGTGGACACTGTTTTAGCTGCAAATTGAGCTTGGCTTGCTGATTCCATTTTCTACAGTGTTAACAGTCTACTCACTACTCATATACAGTGTTAACAGTCTACTCACTACTCATATACAGTGTTAACAGTCTACTCACTACTCATATACAGTGTTAACAGTCACTACTACAGTGTTAACAGTCTACTCACTACTCATATATACAGTGTTAACAGTCTACTCACTACTCATATACAGTGTTAACAGTCTACTCACTACTCATATACAGTGTTAACAGTCTACTCACTACTCATATACAGTGTTAACAGTCTACTCACTACTCATATACAGTGTTAACAGTCTACTCACTACTCATATACAGTGTTATACAGTGTTAACAGTGTTAACAGTCTACTCACTACTCATATACAGTGTTAACAGTCTACTCACTACTCATATATACAGTGTTAACAGTCTACTCACTACTCATATACAGTGTTAACAGTCTACTCACTACCCCAACACTGTCATCTATACTGTTAACAATATTTACTGTCCCAACACTGTATATACAGTGGTAATTGTCTGCTCACTATCCTAACACAGTCATAAGTGGTGCGTGTTAATCGACTGATACAATAAATTCAAATTAGTATCATCAAAACTCAAGAAATTTCAAGTATGTAAATTTTAATATTTTGAATGTTACAAGTGAAAGTAATATTTTCACTTTAGTTTTATTTTTGATATTTACAGCGCAAAAATAATGTATAACAAAAAACATCAAAAAACTAATCATTCAATTTTGTTGCTTTCCTCTTTTTTGAATTGTCAAAGTGACATTTCGAAAAAAATCTCTTTAATTTCTCAAAATTGCTTTCCTTCTATTCACATCTTCATTTAAATAGATTCTTTTTAACATTTTAAAATACAATTTATTATTTTTATGTGGCATGTGAATTTAGAATGTGCAATGTCAGCTTAATGTGTATTAACAGTCTTATTTTACTTGGTCACTGCCAATTAATTTTACTAACCAGAGATATTCTGTAAAAAACAAGAGAAAGCTATGAATCAACCACTCCTAATAAGTCAGGCCAGGCATTGTCTGTTCCTGTTATGTTGTATATAGCCTGTCACATGTTACTTGGAGAGATGTTAAATTGTCCAGAGACAATGCTATGAAGGACCCAGTATAGTACCCTAAAACATGGAATAACTTGAAAAGGAACGAATGCCTATTTCAGGGATTACACGCTATTGCTGATACCCTGTAAATCACTTGAGAAGAGATAGACACTGCCAAATTATCCCATTGTCCTAAAATGTGAAAGGCTGAATCCACCTCTCCCAATAAGGTAAGCCAGGGATTATTACATTTGTTGGTACCACTTAACACAGTAAAACTAGTCCTGTGTATGATGATAAACTACATTTAGCAGCAAGGCCGCTGATCGGGAAATTGGAGGTTTTGAGGAGCATGGAACCTTTTAATTGCTGTTGGTCCCAGGTGCATCCAGACAGGGTCACAGCTATGGGGAAGATAGTGACACCCTCCCCCTCCCCCCAAAAAACAACAAAATACTAGGAAAGTGTAAAATATTATTTTTATAGTAAAATCACCAGCAATACATTTTCTATAAAAGAAATACCAACAATACATTTTATCTACTATATATATATATATATATATATATATATATATATATAATCTAAAAACCATGCATCTACCCTGAAAGTATAAAATTATGTGCACAATATCTGTAGGTGAAGGCATTAAATTGCATTCAAAATATTTAGATTTTTGCATTAATAGAGGTGTTGATATGATCTAGATGAAATCAACCAAACCATTAAGACAGTAAAACCTGTCTAATTTCATTTGGAGATAATGCCAAGTAATCTGATTGGACTATCTAAAATGTGAAGGACCATAGAAAAGGCAAAATCCGATTGGACTACCTAAAATGTGAAGGACCATAGAAAAGGCTTGAATCCACCTCTCTCAATAGATCAGGAAAGAGAATGATAATGCCAAGTAACACTGTTTTCCAGAGATATACCATGAAGGACACTGTCACTTCCTCTGATAATCTACAAATTCATGAGATCATTGAATTTTTTGGCCTTGAAGTTGATGACAAATTCAAATATTTTAAATATAGTAAAATAGACATTTAAAAAAAAAAAAAAAAAAAACAATACTAAATAATCATCAATATTTTTAATTAATTTTTCCTAACAATACAAGATATGCAAATGACACAGTACTAATAGCAAACACAGAAAGGAAACTACAAAGTTTGTCATATCAATGGATCAAAATTTATTTTTAAAGATGGGATCAATAATTTAGAAGTACATTGAACAGTCATTCATCAATATGTTGTCTATTTCAGCTAAATAAATTAGTTAATTAACATTTCAGAAGCATTTTATTCATTTCCTATAAAGTGCATCATTTCATGTGTGACAATCTAATATTTATAAATTAAAACTTTCTTTTATTGTAGTTTTGGAGTTTAAGCTGTACACACAAAAGATTTAGAATTTAGTTAATATAAAGTTTAAATATTATTCATCATGAATTTGTAAATTAATAGCATTATTTTGATAAAATATGTGGGAAACAAAGAGTAGCCTTGCTAGTATATGTGCAAAAATTCCCAGTGTTCATTATTTGAAAAGTTGAGACTAAACGTAATTGAAAACCAATTATTTTTTTCTTATTTACAGAAGATTTTTGCACATTCTAAACATACTCTTAAATTAGTTCTTAGGGACAAAAAAATTTATTTTTAATACTATTTAATGTTTTTCAAAATAACGAACTTGTTCTGAAAATGAAGATGACTGTATTTTTCTATTTTTTTTGCAATCTTAGATACTTTGGACCACGCCATGATAGTGACAGGTTTATTACAAATGCTTGTATCTATCCATTTATGATAGATTTATGACTTTGTAAAAATAAAATAAGAAAGTTGGTAAAGATTCATTTCACACTAATGCCCTTTGGAAAAGGCACAAATACATTTTCATCCACTTACAGGTTAAATAACAAGAACTGTTCTTCTGCCTTGGGTGCAACCAGTCTAGGAGAAGAAAAACTTTGAAGCTAGAATCAACATGATGGGCACCTTTAGGTTATCTTACCCTAGGCACACATACTGCTGCTATAACTCTTGGAACTTACCACAACCTTAAATTTCACCAGATTAGAATAATTATCACTAGAAATACCCGTGTAAATTTCAGTATTTAAATTTTCTGATGAATCTTAATTCTAAAGCTAATGATTAAACAGGCACTTTGTGAGTTCTACAACTATATCAGTTCTACAACTATAAAATTTTGAAAATTCTGCTATTGGAGTTTATAATATTTAAATATTTGTACTTAGCAACTTTAACAAAATATTGCAATAACAATCACAAGTATGAATGCAAGTCATTAGTTCATGAAGTAAGAGGGTACAAATGAAAAAGAAATTTGAAACTGATAAGTTTTTCCATTTCATTGAAGCAGACATTAAATACATGTGAGTGTTATTGCTTGATTTATCTTCTTTCTTTTTTTTTTTTCTCTCTCACTTCCACCAATATATATGGTTTTTGTGATTCTGTTTCTTATCTGTTTCTATTGAAAAGAAACTGGAGCACAAAATGGACATATTGGTGGAATTATTATTACGAGTAATACCAGTGAAAATTTCATGGTTTTCCTATTTGAATTTTCTCATGAATCATAATTCTTAAGCTAATCATTGAATAGGCTTTGTGCAAGTTATGCCACTATAAAATAACCAAGGAAATTCCCTATTGCACTGTTAAATATTTAACAACTTTAACAAAATATTGCAATAATCTTTTAATAAGTTAGAGGGTACAAATGAAAAGAATTAAAATCTAGAAATTTAGAAAAAGGGAGAGAGAATTTTTAAACATTTTTAAATGTCAAAATGTCTAAAAATTCTCTATCTTTTTCATTTTCTCACTGAAACCAAACGGCATCACTAAGATGTCTTTTCCATTTTTCTTTGTGATCAAAATGGATAGTCCATTATTCATGAAGTATTGACAGGACATAATATAATTATGTTAGTTCCTTAAGTAACATTTACAATGTTATAACAAACTGCTACTTTATGGAACTGACTTCCAAGAGGGTGCTTTCCAACCACTACACTCTTAACCTTTTCAAGTCTAAGATTAACCGTTATCTTTTCTCATAAACTATACCTCTTACCTTTTACTCTTACTACTCATACAACAACCTCCTTCAGTAACCTGAGTGCTTCTTGGGTGGGGGAGCTTGTATAGGATAAACAGTAGTAAAAAAAAAAAAAAAGAAAGATTGTTAAAAACAGACTATTTGGCTGTCAGTGTTTTGGGTGGGGGGGGTTGCAGTCATTTTATGGATTTTTTTTTTTCCCCTGCTTTCAGATATTTTGGTTTCTTCTCTGCTTGCTTCGTTATTCTCTTAATTAGGTTGGCTTAATTGTGCTGCATGCCAGTCAGTGATTCTACTTTGTTGGGGTGCACTTTGGTCTCTTTTTTTTTTTTTTTTTTTTTTTTTGTTTTTTTGCCTTCTTTTCAAGGTTTTTTTGCCTTCTTTTCAAGGTTACAATTTTCAAGGGTATCTTTTAAACCAATTATTTTTATTCTGGCTTTTTAAAAAAATTTTAAACATTTACTTATACCCCATTTGTCTAGGAGTTGCAGTACTGGTCAGAAAGCTTCTTAACCTGAGATTTATAACTTCAGGAATTTTTGTAGATTTTACAAGTAAACAAATTAATACACCAGAGTAAGCATATTACTCTATCAAATGCTTGACTAATTCTTACTATTGACAATCTCAATAAATTTTTATCATAAAATTTTCAATTGATTTCAATAAAAAAAAAAAAAAAAAAAATTAGCAATGCATTTACTTTAGATATAATTATCCTATTCTGTCAGTAATGTTTGCATTAATCCCTGACTATTGGATAATCACTTTTCTGAATTTAAAATTTAATGCTATTTCTTTAGCAAAATTATTTTTTTGTGCATTTACATTATATAAACAAATTTTGAGAAGCTTAAACAAAGTGGTTTTAAGAGAGATGTGGTATGTTTGACAAGACATGGGAAATACTAGATAACTTGACAAATGAACAATTTGATCAAATTGTTCATTTGTCAAGTTTTATTTTATTTACCAAATTCTTATGTGTAATTACAAGCAATACATTTACATAATACACATAATAACCTTGTTCTGTCAGTTACACTTCCCTTATTTCCTCCTGACAATCCCTTTTTTCCTGATTTTTCCTGTCAATCCCTTTCTTCTTGATTTTCAATGCATTCTAATACTAAAATCAATAGCAATACATTTACATAATACACTTAATAGCACTGTTTTGTCAGTAACACATGCCTTAATTCCTGACCTTTGACAATGCCTTTCTTCTTGATCTTCAGTGTTTTCCAATAGGTGATTTTGTGAGAACTGAAATTTTACTAAGTTAAGCAACATCAAGCCTGGTCAGTACCTAGATGGCTGACCACTTGGGAATACAAGTTGCTGTAAGCTTGGATATGCAGTGGGTGTAATGGATAATGGCTCAGAATTGGAAATTGGAGAGCTATGTTCCAATTCTAGCAGGGTTTGTTATATTCATTTAGGTGCAAATACCTTTGGGTATGAATCCAACTCTTCTCCCCCAGCTATGTGTTAATTAGTAGAACTTGTATCAGTAAATCATTATCTCCAAAAAATTCTTACAATCTAAAAAATCTTTTCTGGCTTTAAATAACCTGCAAAAGGTTGATAAGCCATGAAATAGAAATCAATCAGTCAATAGTAAAATTATTAGCAATGAATTTACATAATACACTTAATAGCCCTGTTCTGTCGGTAACACTTGCTTTAATTGCTGACCATTGACAACCCTTTAATTCTTTTTATTGCACAGCATACAGATTTCATGTTAGTTTAAATAAAAAAAATGTCCACTGATCCCTACTGAAAGACTCTAAAAAACATCTTTACTGGCTTTAAATAACCTGCAAAAGGTTGATAAGCCATAAAAGAAAACCATCACTCAACTTTCGTAAAATTATTAGCAATGCATTTGCATAATATACTTAATAGCCCTGTTCTGTCAGTAACACTTGTCTTAATTCCTGATGATATCTTATGGCTGCATCACATTAAAGCACCTGTTCCTGTACAATCACTGAATTTAAGGAACATCAAATGCAATCATAAACAGGGGAAAATAAATCTGTATAAAAATGGGTTTCAGTGCAAAGTTTACAAGACAAATGATTATTACAATTAATTTTCATTTTATTTTTTTTTTTGCCATCAACATTCAAGAACAAATTGTTTCTTTTGAATATTTAATAAAAGTAGGGTGTTGGAATAAAGATGTCCTGGGTGGATTTTTTCTTTAAAAAATGTATAACTGTCTCAGCCTGTTTGAAATTCAGAGGTACTTCTATGCTGCTTTTTTATTCTATGTGCCGCATCCCTTCAGTGATCATGCATCTCCACAACTTCCTGTCTTTCAAAAGTACTTAAATCATAAGAAATACTACAGACTAAGACAAAGGAATTAAATTGATTTCTCAGCTTCACATTATTATACTCTAGTTACCTGCTTGATGGCAAAGTAATTGTGAGTTCAATCTCTGGGCCAGGTAGCACAGACTCACTCTCCATGGAAAGAGTGCTAGCAATAATTAGCAGTGTTAAAAAGTGAACAAGACGAGATATCCCTAAACATGAACAACAGAATGGGAACAATATACCTCTGTAGATTAAATAAAGGGCTTGGTTCAAAATTCCTTGACGAAAGCAGACTGGACATAACATTGTTAAAAGCAATAATAATGAAGTCATTAGTCCAAATGTAAAAAGAAATCATTGTATTGAACTTTCTCTTTTGATATAAATCCTTATGAGGTACATGTTTTAAAAGTGACTATTCTCCCTGACAGAAAAATGTGTGGAAGATTTCAAGAATCAGTAAAGTATGTTTTATTTGAAGACAAGATCAACAACTTTCTGACCTGTGCTCTTTTGTAATCTATTACTAACATCCATAACCTATATTCTGTATTCTGCTACACTCGTAGCAATTTTTGTGGATGCCTTTATCATTTCCTCACATTTCAGTTGGAGAAAATTGTAGAACCAAGAAGACGAAGCAATATGGCCAAATCTACCATCTTGCAAGGCTCCAAAAGGCCAACATTTGATTTTCGAAGATCAGTGAACCATGTTTCTTTGAAGTCCTCATTGAGTAGCGAGGTGAGATTTCAGTGTTGTTTTCAGTAACTGTGTCGTGTTTTCTTCCCTAAATTATGTCTTTCTTTGAACATAATCAAAAGTAACAGCTCAATAATTGATTCCTTTGGCCTTGAGTGTTGTATTTTCAGTAACTTTGTCTTGTCTTTTCTTTCTTAAATTATTCATATTTCTTTTAATATAATCAAAATAACAACTCAAAATTTGACTCATTCAGCTTTGGGTGTTGTGTTTTCAGTCACTGTGTCATCTTTCTTAAATTATTTATATTTCTTTTAATATAATCAAAATTAAAAGCTCAAAATTTAACTCATTTAGCTTTGTTATCTTTCTTAAACTATTGGTGTTGAATGAGAACAAAAGTAACGACTTATAGTTTGACTCATTCAGTTTTGAGTGTTGTGGTTTCAGTAGCAGTGACTTGTCTATGCTTTCTTAAATTATTCATATTTCTTGGAATGAGATCAAACGTAACAGCTCAAAATTTGACTCATTCAGCTTTGAGTGTTGTATTTTAATTAGCTTTGTCTTGTCTTTGCTTTCTTAAATTATTCATATTTCTTTGATTGAGATCAAAAGTAACAGCTCAAAATTTGTCACTAAACTTGAATCATTGAGCTTTGAATGTTGTTTTCAGTAACTGTTTCTCATCTTTCTTAACTTTTGGGTGTTTCTTTGATTGAGATCAAAAGTAACAGCTCAAAATTTGATAGAAAACATGTCTTAAAGAAATGTCAGTTGATTGATTTTGAATAAAGTACTCAACCTCTGGTATTCAGTTTGTAAAGAGTAAATATTTATGACTAAAGCCAAAATCTAAATATTTTGTATGTAATTTTTTTTTTGGAAATAATATTTTTAGTCATACATGTCCTACTAATTAACCCATAGTTGGGGGGAGAAGTGGGTTCATACCTTTTGCAAGGGTATTTGCACGCAAGTGAATATAACTAACCCAACTAGAATTGTAGCTTGGCTCTCCGATTTACAATTCCAAGGCATTATCCATGTTGTGGTACGATCCACCTAATTTACATAGTGGAGTACCGACCATATAAATATGGGTTGGTACCGGGAAGACGAGGGAAGTAACAAGAGATCCAATCCAGAGACTCTGTCCGACTGCGATTAAGTCAACCCATTCTACAGGAACTGTCTTCCCAAGAATATACCAAAACTAACTGTAAATATTGTGTACCTTTTCCTTGTTTCAATACATTTTGTTTACGTACATTTTGTGTTGTATTATTATTATTCCATGCTTATCCAAGCTTCAACAATCCATTACACCACCCATTCATCCAAGCTTACACCCATCTAGGTACTGATCAGGCCTGACATTGCTTAACTTCAGTGATCATATGGGAACCAGTGTTTTAACAAGATATGGCCATAAGCACAAAATTGTGAGTGGTTCAACTGATGTTAAGTAGCACTTATTCACTTTGGTACTGCTGAACTAATCGTTAAGAATAGCCTTGGGGGAGATGAGGAAGGGAGAAAAGAGGGTATGAAGTAGGAAAGGTTGGAGAAAGCATGAGAAAAATGCTAGGAAAACCAGGTGAAAGGAAAAAATAAATATTCATTAAGAGAGAGAAAGGATAGAAAAGAAAGAAAGACAGAGAAACAGGTGTATTATCTGGATATATATATGGGGTGGGGAATATGGAATAAATCAATATACTTGATTTCAGAATTGCAGATAGATTAGAATTCAATAACTATAAGGTAATTAATTTATGCGCAAATACTCTTGGGAAAGATATGAATCAATCTCTTCTTCCCCACCAGCTGTAGGTTAAATAGTAAATCTTCAATCTGGAAAAAAAATCTTCTTTATCTCCCAAAAATTGTTAATGCAGAAAAAGAAAAGAATTATTCTTACAATTCAAAATATGTTTTAGCTTTAAATAACCCACAAAAGGTTGATAAACTGTAAAAAAAAAAAAAAAAAACTTCATGGACTCCATTTACCCTAACAATGATGTATTATTTCAGCAGGATAATGCATTAGGCCCAATTTTCCAAGAATTAGTTTGGAGAGCATTTTTGAGGCATCTCATGAATGGTGAGCCCATTCAAACATTTATAAAATATGGAGGCGTTTATTCACATGCAAGATCCTGCACTTATAAATATCTGGAAGCTGTGAACAAATATACAGACAACATGGCTAAACATCTCTCCAGAAGTCTTCTGACTATTGTGGAATTGATACCATGTCAAGTTACTGTACTTCATTTAGCTAGAGAGGGTTCTACATGATATGAGGCACTAATCCAATTACTTTTAGCATACTATTAGAATAAAAGCACTGATGGCACATATCCTAAATCCATCATAAAAAGAAATCAGGATGTGAAATTAATAAATACTAAATACTTCAGCATATGGATCAATTATAAATTTAATATAGGAGATAAAGAAATCGAACATAGAATAAGCTGTGCCAGAGATAGTTTTGCTCAACACTGCAAGTTGCTACAAAACTAAAACATCAATCTTAAAACTCAAATCATGTTTTCAAAGACCCTCATCAGATGAAGATTTTCATATGGATGCCATGCATGGCACCAAACCTGTCCAGAAATCTCTAAACTGTCAGCTGTAAACAACCACTTTCTAAGATCAATGATTAAAAATGACTGAGCCAGCAAAGCCTGAGGGTCTTGGCAAAGACCATCCTTCTTTGAACATTGTGGACTGGCACTACAGAATCACAAAGAACTGTTCCAAATAATAGAAACCACATCACCTGAGGACTTTCAACAGCAGCAACAATTAAAATGGATAGAACATATAACTAAGAGAAAATAATGACATAATCAAGATATTGACATTCCAAACTATGTATGTATAACTAGCCGCTTGTATTCAAGGATACCCATCTACTGGGGTGGCTAACCAAACTATTGCAGATGCTTACTCAGGCACATTTGTTTTTATTCAACACTCACAGATCCCACCTGTGGTTTATACTGCAACTATGCTGAGCAGACCTTAGTTACAGTTTCTGGGAAAGAGCATGTTATCTAGTGTGATCAACAATTTGAACAAGGCCAGCACGGTCAAGCCCTCAGCCATGATGACTTATGGCTTTGTGCTAGCACAGCTATCAACAGCACCCAAGGGTTCCGCCTACCCAATTTCATTCACAATGCTTGAGTCAACTTTTAGTATGATTTTTAGGCACTTTGCAAAGTTGCTGCATCCTGGGATTGCCCCCTCCAGTCCAATAACATCAGGAAGTTTCCTTCCTGACAAATTGACAATGGTGAGATTTGAACCCAGGTCCCATGGTCAGAATGTGAACATTCTAACCACTTGACCAAACTACAACAAAAAAAAAAGGTTAGCAAGGAAACCTCCATCAATAATGAAAAGAGTGATAACAGCAACTGGACTTGAGAAACCTATTTTCCTGAAAAATAGTTTTAAAAGAAAGATTTTATAAATTTCAACAAAAAGCAGTACTGGCTACTTGGTCAATGAATGTCGAATGTTTCCTTATAAGGAAACAGCAAATATTACCATTTCTAGTCTTAACATGACCATCAATATGAAGAGAATTTTTTAAATGACCTATTAAGAAGTAGAGATATATTAAACTACATCACTTGAAGACTATCAACAGTAGAAACAGCAAAAATGGATAGCACATGCAACTCAAAGAGAAAATAATAGCATAATCAAGCTGTTGACATTCCAGACTATTTCAAATAAAAGATTAGGAAATAAAGCCCCATCAATACTTGAAAGATTGATAACAGCTATTGGACTTGAGAAACCTATTCTCCTGAAAAATTGTTTTAAAGAAAGATTTTATAAATTTCCACCAAAAGCAGGTTAAATGAATTCTAAATGTTTCCTTGTAGGGAAACAGCTAATATTACCATTTCCATTCCATAGTGTCAAGATTCAATGGTGCCACCTACTATTACATTTGTATTCTATTATCCTGTGATTTTAGGTACTTTTAGCATGTAAATAAAACAGCAAACACAAAGTTTAAAAACTTCATTGGATATTAACAACTGTAATATATTCAATAGCATTTCTTGGCCACAGATGATCATAGCTGAGGGCAGAGCATATAATCAGATCACATGATTTATATATGCATATTATTATGTGGCTTTAACCATAAACATGTATAAAAGAGTAAGTATCTAGCCACAAAGGTCAGAGGAACTAAGCAGCAATGAAGACCATTTAATTCAGTTCCTACAGCTTCTTTGTTTCATTGGAGTGGGTGGGCAAATGAAATTAATTCTTTGTTTGACTAAAGGAAATAAAAAATTTCATTTCTCATTCTATCCAACCAATAAAGCAAGAACTTGATCAAAGTGACAGAAGACTGAGTTGTATTTCTACAATTATAACCAAAATATGGAAGTACAGATGGCATAGTGGTAGTCAGTTACATAAACTGGAATTGGTGAGCCAAATTCAAAACAGCCAAAAGCTGTTTACATTTGCTTTGCACACCAAAGGTCTTAAGAAATTAATGAATTCATATCTTTTATCTAGTAGGGTAGACTGAGCTGTTTAACCTTGTAGGGAAACTGAATTCAATACTGTTGCAATGGAATGTCCCACACTCCTTATCACTTATATGGACTGACTATATATATATATATATATATATATATATATATAGTAAGCACAGGATATACCTGGTGAACTTGTTTCGGGTGTTACTAGCCTGCTAACTGATTCCCTCTCTTTCAATAGTGAATTCTCTTTTACAATAAACCTCTTTTTCATCTATGCTCGTGTTGCTGTTTCTTTCACTTGAGTACCACCTTTATCTATAACCTTCTTTAAGGATACAACAAAAAACAACTTGAAAAAGGAAGGTCTCTCATCTGAAATATGCCCATTGCTATTGCAATATATGTGGTGGATCAATGACACTACTGTACATTACAGGATGCATGTCTTCAGACCACTAAAGCAAGAATATCCTTGACTTTTTTGTTAAACTGAACTAATAACAGAACTTAATTCAGATAAATACATTTTCCTAATGTTTGACTCAGCTGCCAAGCTTTAAGTACAATTCTTATCTTATTTCATGTGCTGTGTTCTTTCAGTTAAATAAGAAATTAAAGTAGGGCTGAGAAATGAATCCATAGCTATGCCACCAGTCTGTGTGTAACTTGCCATTTCTTATATATATATGTGCCCCTTCAGTACATGGTTGATCATGGCTTTCCACAACTTATCTTTGGTAATTCATAGCAATGATAGTCTTTTTACTTCACACTCCCTGTTTTATTATCCACTTACACAAGCACATTAGATAGGTTACTCACGATTTCCCTGTGTTCCTCTTGGTGTCAATATGTCTTGTATATATCAAATTACCAAGTTCTCTCTTCTCATTAAGTGTCCTCAAAATTTTCTGATTCTAAGTACAGGTGTCTTTTTCACTGACATGCTCTGTCTATGAGATTCTCAGCACCCTTCTGTAGAACTACATCTGTTGCTTCAAGTCTCTGTTTTGTCTTTGTGAAAATTGTTCAGCATTTTTGCCATATAGGAGGATGATTAGTGACTTCAAATTATATGTAAACTTTTACATTTTCTGAAATAATATACTTATAGATTTTATCTAACATTACTGTATTTTTGGGGGCATTTAAGACCCCTCTTGGATGCAAAGTTAGAATATTTGGTGGGCTGATGTTTAACCAAATGCCATAGATGGTAAGTGTTTGTACCAAGCCTAACTACAAATATATTAATCACTTTACCCCCAAACAAGGCAATAAAGCCACTAAGGTACAAGGAGGTTACTGGGTTTAAGAAAATATGAGAAAACGAAAACATTCAGGAGAGAGAGAACAATAAAAGAACAGGAATTAAGAAGACAGAAGATAATGATTGATATTGCATTTAAATTTTTGAAGACTGAAGTTGACTGGAAAGCAAGAAGCTAGAAAAGAGTTCCAGAAGAGAGACGCATAAGAGAATAAACTATTAGCATAGAACTTGCAATTATGTCTAACCATTTCAACTGTAATATGATAAAAGCTTGTACCAATCTAATACTGTGCTTAAATTCATAAAATCAAGATTCCAAAGAGGAAACCTCTTCAGAACAATTATCATGAAAATATGTAATGAAAAGGCACAGGTAAGCTATGCTACGGTGGTGGGAAATTAATTGAAGCAATCAAGTTTAATGTTAGCTCATTGGCAGTACTGTGGAAATATTCTCAAGCTCCCTTGACACTTCCTCATTTTGTGGACACCTCAGGCACTGGGCATTCAACTGAGCCTTCTCCCAAAGGAGAGGTATTACCTGGGGGGATGGGCCCCTGAGGCTTGAGTTATTAATAGGACAGAGGAATATTTTTTTTTTTTTTACACTTTTGAGGTGTAGTATT